ATCATTTTATAAAATTAATATAGAATACTCTATTTGAACTCAAATCAAGGTTGAAACGAAATACTCAATGACCAAGACTTGACGAACAACTTTATTATTATAGAGACATCTTTTTCATCAAATTTTATCTCACTATTAAATGAAATCTAACTCAACATTGAGTTAATGGGTGTTGCAAGGAAGGAGCATCCTCTTGCTCAAAAGGCAAGAATCAAAAGAGTGGTTGGGAGGAAATTTTCAACCTCCTCCCCCTTACCCCTTTGTCCACATTAGTTCTCCCTCTAGTTCAACACTTCAAAAGTTTATACATGCTTTCCCATTGGGGTGGTAAGCGCGAATGAGGAAATCTAAGAAGAAGTGATTCTTTGTTTAGCTTGTTTAGTGATGCTATTTTGGTTGGTGGGTTGAGCTATTGTATGTGTCTCTCTGGGCTATGTATTTTAGGTTTAGGGAGGCTGAGGTTGTTTTATTCAAGTTTGGGTGAGGTTTTTATTTTCTTGTGTTGGTTGGAATTCCTTTTTCTGTTGATTGGCTGGTTGTTCTGATTGGTCTCGTGGTGCCTTCCTTGTTTTATTTCTTCTTTGTAGGGTATTGTCTTCAGGGATCTCGAGTGTTGATGCCTCTGTTTGCTTCCAGTTCGCCACTCCTTTGTTGATTGATAGTTCTCTTTTTGGTTATATTATTTGGTTTTATCTTTTCATCTGCATGTTCTTGCATTTAGTTTGAATCAAGGCTCGTAGGTTTTACTTTAAATGATGTATTTTTAGATGGCTTTGAATTGAGTAAGGACTTATAATCTTATTTTTATTTAATGCGTATGCCCCTACTAAGAGTTTTAACCAAAAAAAAACTTGATTCTCTAACAATGTAGTAAAAAATCTTATTTTAAAATTTAATTTCTTTATGTTTTGATGTTCTTTCTAATATTAGCAGGCATCATTGGGGTTGGTACAAAAGGGGGCTATTTCTTGATCCTCTATTTACAATTGCCTTGCTGTTTACAATGGTTTTAAAAACTATGGACATTCTTGCCAAAAGAAATATTACTATACTCCAAACCTATCAGCTGTGTTATAGAGATAATGAATCTATTAAGCTCATCTTTTTATCATGCACTCTCTCTAATGCTCTCTTTAAAGGATGGCTTTCGTTGACCTCCACCTTCCTTCTTAACTATTCTAAGTAACAACATCATTTGCTACATTTGCAGAGAAAAAATGATATGAAATAAGGGCTCTCTCATTAGCATTTGTGGTGTTATTTTGGGTTAGATTGGAAGTAAGACTTTGATTTTGTTTGATAAAGTTTTCTTACTGCTTACTAAAGTAATTTTTTAAAGTAGCTTTTTAGTTTAAAATTTTAAATTTTGTACTAAAAAAATGTTTTAAGAAGCAATAAAAAAGTCATTCAAAACGAAGCCTTTGTCTGTTTGTCATTGGTGGCTTCCTGTTTGATGCTCTCAGCATTTTTGACCATTTAACATTGTGTTATTATGGTTTTGAAGTGGTTATATTTGGTTGTTTTGGTGCAACCAAATCAGTACATGCTATGTGACTTCGCCTACTTCTGATCTCTTATGATTCAAGCTTGTTTGAGCCTTCTGAATTTTTTGACGAATTTTTATTTTTTATTTTTAATTTTTAAAGAATCGATTGTTGGGCCGTATAAGTAGGAAACTCTCAAGTACGATTCTAAGAGAGGGAATTTAAAAACCTATTCCAACTGGGGAGAACAAGCCATTATACAAGGTGATTCAGAAATTGCAAAGGGTTGGTTTGATCAAGCTACTGAGTATTAGAAACAAGCTATAGCGCTTACTCCAGAGAATTATATTGAAGCAAATAATGAGTGAAAAATAACGAGGCATTTTTCACCTCTTTGCGTGTCTCATATTTTTATTATGCATATTCTTTATGTATTTATTCATCATTTTTTTAATTAAATATGTCAATATTAATTTCATATATATTTTAATATTATAAATCTTGCTATTTGCATATTGTCCTATGTAGCAGTGTCAATATTGGACCCGACCCAAAAATTAAAAAGAGAACTGAGATTGATAGACGCCAAGATCCTTAATTATAAATAGAATTCTAGAAATAATTCGGTGACTCGAACTTCTAAATGAGATAGCACCGATGAGCATTTCCCTTTTTTTTTTTTTTTTTCCTCTGCGATAGGTTAAGGTCTGTACCGTAAGGTAAGGAAATACTAATTTATGAGCAATAAAAACTTAAAAAGGGCATTTCAACGATAACATGATGGAGATTCAAACAATAAAATAAAAAGAAAATTAATGCTATTTCTTCAATAAATTCATCACTCCTAAATCAATATAAAAAAATAATCATAAATAATATATTTAAGAGTTATTAGGAGAAGCATCAATATTACTCATATTTCTTAACATAAATTATTTTCTTTCTATGTCAATTTGGTTCAATTTTTTTATCATTTTTATATAAAAAAAACTAAATAAATTATATAAATTAGTGAGAAAATGACTGAAATAAACACCTAATTTTTTTCTTAAGAATCAAAATAATCGCTGACTATATAAAAATATAAATTGGATCAATTGACTTTTTAAATCAGGACCAATTAGTAATTATGTGAGATCATTTAAGTCTATATTTAAAAAGACATTGAGCTAAAATAGGACATTTTAATAGTTGGTGATCATTTTGATCTTTTGTAAAGAGTGAATGGATTATTTTGGTCTTTATCTATAAAATTATTTAAGGAAAAATTTCAAACAAATCAAACCAAAATGATACTTAATTTACTTTATTTGATTTATATTTTCAATTAAGCCTAATTTTGTTGTCCACACCTAATTAACAAAGCAACAAGAGTATTATCTTCCATAAGTTAATCAAGAACATAGTTTAAAGGCTTACTTTGCGGAGATTTATGTTACTTGTGCTTTAGGCTTCATTTGAAATGACTTTTTTAGTACTTTGTAAAACTGCTGAGAGAAAATAATTTTTTAAAGCTATTATAAAAGCAATTTTTTAATACAATTTTTTTTAGAAAAGCAACAAAAGAATGAGTCACCAATCATAAATTGTGATTGTGATATATAAAAAAAGTTGTAAGAAGGTTGACCCAAACAATAGAGATTATTACGTGTGATCACCGGACCGTTCGGAGGCCAATCAGGAAGCACCACGTTACCCGATACACAGCGGTACACAGTGCTGATACACATCATATTGGTGACATGGCACATCATAATTGGCCTTTGGATGACGTCCAGTGACGACACGTAATAATTTCGCCTAAAAAAAGAGAGATTATTGCGTGCGGTCACTGGACCGTCCAGAGGCCAGTATGTACGCGCCACATCACTCAATATACAGCGTTACACAGTGCCGATACACAACATATTGGTGATGTGGCGCGTTCTGATTTGCCTCCGGATAGGATCCGGTGACCGCACGTAATAATTTCACGCCAAACAAAGCCTTTTAATTAGATCTAAAGTTGCTATGCTTAATTAGTTGGTACGTAGCTTGTATTGAATTAATAAAGCGTTTTTTTTTTTTTTTTTTCTCATCAAATTTACGTTACAATAAGGACGACGTTGCCATCCCAATCTTTTGTCATCATTTATTTAATGAAATGATGCAATCCCACAACCAGTCGGTAGCCAACTCCTTATAAATAAGTTTGTGATGCTATCATTCCTAAATATACTAAAATCGCATTCATATTGGTAGAAAGTAGTTATGAAAGGTGGTCCAAAGATTTAGGGTTTGCTTTGGGATCACCCATAATTGAGCACTCTAGCTTAAATACTTAGGTGTATTGAAAAATAATCAAGCTTTTTTTTTCTGGGATTTTGAGCCGATTAAGACAAATTTATACGCACATTACATACGCAAGCTTCGAATCGTAGACCTCTTAATTCTTAGCCAAGGTGACTGTGGTGGTGAAGAAATGCTTGTTATCTTAAAAATTACTTTTGTGAAGATATGCTTGTTATTTTAAGAATTAATGCCTATGGTGGAGGCGATAAGGTGGTTGTGGTTACTGGTCGTCGAGGTGATGATGGTTGTGGTGGTGACGGTGATCAAGGGTGGTCACTGATAGCAGATATCAGATATCAATACTTAGTGTTAAAACACTCAAAATACATTTAAGACTTCTTGAATATTTCTAAAAGCAGGGGTGTCAATTTCGGGTCATGGGTCAGGTTCGGGTCGAACCCCAAACTAACCCGGCACTATTCGGATCATCCTAAACCCGACCCGTTTTTGCAAACGGGTCGGTTTTCCGACCCGAGCCCGACCCGCTTCGGGTCTGGGTCAACCCGACAAGACCCGAATGACCTGGGACCATAAAAAATGCTAGTTTTCGGGTCCAAAAATGGGTTAATCTCGAGTTGTAGGGTAAAATACGAGTTTTCATATCTAAATCGGGTCAATTTCGGGTCAAAGGGTTAACCCGAACCTAACCTAATTTTTGAAATGGGAAAAATTTTTGAACTCGACCCTTTTCGGATTCGGGTTGACCCCAACCCAAAATTTTTGGATCGGGTTCGAGTCGGATTTTCGGGTCGTGTTAAATATTGACACCCTTATCTAAAAGTAATTTGATTTGTATTGAAAAATAAAAGTAAATTTGATTCTAAATATGGTTTTAAGGTTTTTGATTGGGATACCTTTTTAATGCTTTCTAAAGTAATTTTTTAGTACAAAAAATTTTAATTTAAAAATATTTTGTATTAAAAATCTGCTTTAAAAATCTGTAAGCCTTAGTTATTCAAGGTCAACTTGATACTTCATGAGCTGAGCCATCTTGTCATGCTTGTTTACCTTGCTATGCACCTGATGGAGTGATGGACGTCTGCAACTAGTTGATTACATGCCTACTCCCCAACTACTACACAGAAAGTGACTTTTCACGAGAGGGGGGCGGCTTAAGTGTTTTTTTTTTGTTGTTATTCAATTTTCAACCAAAAACTAGTTAGCTTTTTAAACAAATAAAGACATCTTTGAGTGGAGGGAAGTATCTGGTTTGGCCAACGGCTATTTCTCTTTCAGCCACCCTTGGAACCCAAGCAAAGCTGGTAGATTCTTGGTCGCCATCTGATGATCAAACTCCTCCTACCTTCCTTTCCCTTTAATCCTACCTTATTTCTTTCATCCCAAATCACTCTCTCACAATTACATCACAACTTCTTCTTTCCATCAACTCTGCAGACCATGATGAAGCTCTCAAGTTCCATTCTTCAATGAACAGAATTGACGATTCTGATAAGTTCAAGACACTGCTGAACTCCAACAGCGCACAAATGGTGATATCGAGCAATATTGATCATACTGAAGCTCGAAGCCCACCTGTTGGGTCATTGTTGAGGATGGTGATGAGGGTATCAAGAGCTAGATGGTTTGGTTTCTTGCGAAGAGTGTTTCAGTATCAGAATGGTACAAGATCTGATCTCAGATCCAACCCCTTCAATTCCAGTCCATGGCTTCTGCTCGAGGTTATAGCACTTGTTGGGCAGATAGTTTCTGTCACAACAGTCTTGGTTGTGTCAAAGAAGGAAAGGCCGGTTTGGCCTGTAAGATTTTGGATTGCTAGCTACAACATTGCCAATATCCTTAGCATACCTATTCTTTATTGGCGATATCGATGCTCCAATTCAAGCCAGAGTCTTGGCTTGAGCTCTGATTTAGAGCAGCAGAGAAGCCTCGAGGAATCCAGGTGAGAAACTTTCTGAATTCTGAGTTCAATCTTCTCCTTCATGACTATTAGAACATAGAAAATGACTAACTGTTTCTTTTGGTATCAGGAGTTCGTCTCTAATGAACAAGGCTAGGCCATACCTTGAGCTTTTCTACGCATTGTGGTTTGTAATGGGCAATGTTTGGATTTTCGATTCACGGTTGGGCTCATTCAATCAAGCACCAAAGCTTCATCTGCTCTGCATCGCTCTTCTTTCTTGGAATGCAATCATCTACTCTTTCCCTTTTCTTTTGTTTTTGTTGCTGTGCTGCATTGTGCCACTTGTTAGAAATCTTCTTGGTTACAACATGAACTTGGCTTCAAGTGGTCGAGGAGCATCTGATGATCAGATTTCTCAGCTTCCATTTTGGAGATTCAAGGAGGTGGAAGCTGTAGATGAGCTTGCAGTTAAGAATTCAGTAAGTTTCACTGCTGTTAATCATTTCTGCTTTTATGATGAAAAAAAGAGCTGCGTTGGGAAATGATAACTTCAGGAATCAAAATTGTCCCACTTCACTAATGATGAAACCTATTTCAATCTAAATTAAGCTGCTCCTCTCCAGTTGAAGTGAAATTATTAGGTGCGGACACCGAACGCCGTCCATAGCCCAATGAAAATGTGCCACGTCACTCCTACTAGGTACCGCAACTCGGTACTGGTCGGTACCGAGCTCGGTACTGAGCTCGGTACTGGATGACGTGGCTGCATCTGATTGGCCTCTGGATGGTAAGTTGTGTCCGGTGTCCGCACAGAATAATCTCTCATAGTTGGAACCCCCAATCTTTGAATTTTAAAAGCTGACATCCTTCCCTTAACATTTATGCAGGAGTGTTGTATTTGTCTTGCCAAATATATAGACAGAGATGAGGTTAGGAAGCTGCCATGCTCACACTTATTTCACCTAAGATGTGTTGATCAATGGCTAAAGATAATATCTTGCTGTCCTCTGTGCAAGAAAGAGCTTGAGAAGTGATCAAAAGAGAATTTGTGGGGACAGATCACTTTGGATGCTAACCTTTATGGATTTGTATGATAAAGTTGTAAGTAAATCAGAAATTCTCTAAAAGGTGAGCAGTTAGCTCTTGTTAGGTCTTCAGCTGTTACTTTGGTGTTGAAAAGAGTTTTTCAAGAACAGGGAAAGGCATCAAACATCCACCAATATCATGTGAATTTTCACTATGCCACACAGCTTAAATTGTTGTTGTAATTAAGAGTTTGAGAGGAATGCATGAATAAATGAACTACTGGATTCTATATCAATTATTTAATCTCTAAAATAATTAATTTCAGATTATATTGTGAATTTATACATAGGAGAAAAGACTAAGGATTATCACATTCATATATGAGTGTAAGGCCTCGTTTGAGATGACTTTCTTATTGTTTCTTAAAGCAGTATTTTAGTAAAAAAATAAAAAGTTATTTTAAGAAGCAATAAAAAAGCCGTCCCAAACGAAGCCTAAGACTAATGCTTCATTTGCTCTCCTTTATTTCTCTTCTTCTTATGATTTTGTGGGCAATGTTTACTAATTTTGTTAATAAAAAAGCTATTTTGTTGGATAAATTATAGGAAGAGTTCAATCATTCTATTTTTCATCCACAAAGCACCATTCTCCTCCGTATTTTACTTTTGCATCTACGATTTATAAGTTTCGTTTGGGATAGTTTCTAACTGCTTTCTACAATAGCGAAATTAAAAAAAAAAATTATAAGCTAGAATTTTTTTAACACAATATTTAAATAAAATAAAAAATATACAATCAAAATCTTAATCATCTAAATATTAAATGTTATATTTACATAATCTCAAGAATTTTATTTAGTGATAATTAATTTATAAGAAGAAGCATTTGCCGCTTGCAAGGCAATGAATCAATGATGTTGATATATGATAGTTGTAGTAGGAGCCAATGGCTTTAAATTATTATAGTAATTTTTAAAATCACTCAAAACATTTCAAAATTATTTTGAGTATTTTTAAAATAATTTATTTATTTTAAATAAATAAAAAATCAAAATAGTTAAAAAATACATCAAATAAGCATTATTTTTCCAAAAGAAAAACTGATCCCTAATAGGCCCTTTGCAAATGCAATATAGTTTTGTTGCTCCCGGATTTAATTTTTGAAGTCTCCAACTAGCTTTTGCCACGAGATTCGTGCCCGATCAAGCTAATTTTGTGATGACGTATCAAGTTTATAAATAAATTAATAGTACAACAAATTACAAGCTATTTTATTCTTTGTAGAATATATGGAAACAAATTTTTATATTAAGAAATTTTCAAGTAGACATTTTAAATAATAATAATTTTAGAAGAAATCATTTTAAAATAATCATGTAAATATCAACAAACACTAGTATATTTTTGGTGATCGTACCAAGTACCTATATGTATGTACTATAATTTGATATATTAAGAAATATTTTAAATTTAATGTGAATATTATAAAAATATAGAAAAAATAAGAAATTACGTATAAATTCAGTCCGTATAAATTATATTTTGCTTCTTAGAAGTTGGTTATAATAAAGAAAAAATCATATTGAAGTATACTAATTTATTGAATAAATAAAATTCAAATAAATTTGATTGAACTTACTTTAGAATGGACAGGAGATTTATATTAAAATATGACATTGAGCTATTTCTGTTAAATTTAGATCAATTAATCTTATTGTAAAGCATATTCAAAACAGATTAAAAAAATATTTACTATCTTTCACTCGTAAGATCAATCAGAATCTGTAACAATATATAGAAATATTACTTGATTTAATCAATAAAAATAAAAATAAAAAATTTACATTCAATCGAAACAACCAAATTGCATATCACTTGGAAAGAGTTTCTTGCTACTGTTTATATAGCATTTTGAGTTTTCTTGTGTTAAGAACTCACATGTAGTGGTGGGTGGTGGGGCCATGTGAAATGCTTCATGATGTTTTGGGACAAATGATTAAAATAAAAGATGTATTATAATTACTAAATGTTTTAAATATGTGTTAATTTATTTATTTTAAAAAAGTTTAAAAATTGTAAAATTTGAACCGACCGGTTCACTGGTTTGCCGGTTGAACCGGTGGTTCTGACCGGTTCACTCCTGTTCAGTGTAGAGGCGATTTTAAGACCGAACCGGACCAGTCTTGTGACCAGTTCACGGTTGAACTAGTTGAACCGGCCGGTCCGGTCTGATTTTTAAAACATTGGTTTCAAGTTTTAATCTATAATATTTTATAATTTATATCAAAAGAAATGCATCATAATATAAAGAAAACTATAAATACTTTATAATTTCTGTAAAAAAAACATAGAGATTAATGAACTTTGATTTATTAAATGAAATTGGCAAAATATTAAAACACATAAAATTTACAAATTCAAATGATGAGATTGATTAACTCAACAAAAAATTATAATTTTTTATGACATAGTTCCTGAATAATATGATCTTTATTGTAATTGATAAGCATACCTGAAATGCATGTTTATACTTACTATTGTATGCAAATATTTTATTTAGCTTGAAAACACTACTTCTTATGGTTATCTATCTTCATCTAGCAATTGATTTTACTAAAGAGAATAAAAAGTGAAGGGAATATGAAGGAGTATTTAATGAATATGAATTAAGATAACATGAAAAGGGAATATGAAACAAGGGCTAAGGGTTATAGGGAATAAGAAGTTTTTTGCATATATATATATATACACACACTAAAAGATTAAAAAAGAATGTAGGGAATATGAATATGAGAATATGAATGAGTATTTAATGAATGTAAATTAAGACCACATGAAAATGGAATATGAAGGATAGGGGATACGAAGGATTATAAGGAATAAGAAATGTCAGGATATGAAAAGAAGAATATGAAAATGAATTTAATGAATATAAATTAATTCCACAAAAAAGGAATATGAAATGTAAGGGTTATGAAAAAGGGGGATACAAAGGCATATAGTGAATAAGAAGTGCATGTAAGGGATATGAAGAGGGGAATATAAATGTGTATTTAGTTAATATGAATTAATAGCACATGAAAAGGGAATAGAAAGTGTAGGAGATATGAAGAAAGGAATATGAAAGAGGTATTTAATGAATATGAAGGAAAAGTAAGAAGCATTAGAGAATTTAAAATATTTCTTCATTTATTTTCTTAAATGAAAAGTAATTACATATTAATTATTTTTGAAATTATCAATTAATCACAATAATATAATATAATAAAATTTCATGATTCTATTAGAAAAATGAAAATGAAATGCAAGGATTTTGTTTGGAAAGAAACTTAAGTAGTTTTTTAATAGTAGTATGAAAAGAGGAATATGAATGGATATTTAACAAATATGAACTAAGACCACAAGAAAGTGGAATAAGAAGAGTAAGGGATATGAATAAGGGAATACAAAAGGATATAGAGAATAAGAAGTGTAGGGCATATATAGGGAATAAAACGTGTAGGGCATATAAAAGGAGAATATGAAAGGGATATTTAATGAATATGAATTAAGACTATAAGAAAAGAGAATATGAAGCATAAGGGATACAAAGGGGCGAAATACGATAATTATATATTAATTATTTTTTTAAAATATCAATTAATCATAATAAGATAATAAAATCAAAAGTCATGATTCTATTTAAATAATTAAAATGAAAGGCTATGATATTATTTTGGAAGAAATTCAAGCAACTTTTATAATAATAGTATAGATATGGATGTGCATGACATTTGTTTATGACCTTCAAATGCTAGCTCAATATCATTTATTCTCTTTATCATTAATACAAGTGACATAATTCAATAATTTTAAAGATCATTTAATTATCCAATCAGATGCATTAAAACTTACACAATAAATATTTATGATTGCATGATGATATATTTATTACTTCAAAATATTATAACTTTTAAATGATATTCTCATTAACACTGTAAAAATTAACGACACATCATATCAAGCATTTAAAATTCTTTGATCCTCCATTTGATAACTTAACAAAAACATCTTTTTTTTTTTTTTGAATTATTAGTAAAATTTCATGAAAAGATTATTGTCTTTTTAAATTATACAGAATTTCAAATTAAATAGATTGGCTATTAATTATGTTTAAGACGTACTTAATGATAATAATTGATAAAATACATGAATTAATTTAGACATTTTAGATAAAATAAATGTCAGATCATCAAACACAAACATCACATGCCATTTTTGAACCCAAATGCTCATGAAAGAGTGGAAGCCACTCATCCAATAAACTAAGGGTCATTTGGGATGACTTATTACTATTTAAAGCAATTTTTTAGTACTAAAAAACTGCTTTAAAAAACAGTAAGAAAACCATCCAACATTGACTTCATCGAATCCGTCGTCTCATAAGAGTTATTTTTCTTTTTTAGTAGCTTTGCTAAGCCTTTCTATGACAATGGGAACCTGATATTGTTGAAAATTTAAGACTTGGTATATTTGATTTGCACTGAATAAATCCAATTAACTGAATAGCCAAAAACAGTAAGTATTCACAACCATCGTCATTTCCGTCGAACTTGTTCAAGCACAATGTTATTAATGGCATAAAGTAAAGGACGAGCAAGGTCTACAATAATATTAACTAAAATCGAGAAAAGACATTTACATAAAAAAGCAATGTATACGTTAATACCCAAAAGAAAGCATCCACAGGTCTTTTCTTTTGGCCCGCCACTTCATCCAAGAATCCCAAGGGCAGAAACAGAACATATCAGCAGTACACTGTAAATGCTGGTTCTGATTGAAGCCTGATGCTCCTCCCACCTTCCCCAATCATCTTTTGTTTCTTCAAAAAAAATGGAGGCTCAGATAGGTTGTTTAAGGGGATTCCAAGAGATAACTTATGGGAGTGTAGGGGCTTTAAACTCTTCTGAATCATTCTTGCTTGCATCCTATACTTTATGTACAGAGTTGAGGAGCCCTTTGATGCCCGCCCAACTTAACCAAATCCAAATCCCTCACTCCCTTCATGAATGGCCAATAACAACCTCTCCTGTAGCTGTTCTTTGGCAGGATACTCAGGCAAATCAAGCTGATTGAAGCTGTAAAACATTAGGGGGAAAAAAACAAAAGAGTTAGATGTCATATGAATACTTGCTCATCTACCCCTACTTCATTAACATGCCCAACTCGGTGATAGGTCGGTGGATTTTCCGCCGGTCTTGCCAGCGAATATTTCCACCGGAAAGGCCGGCGGATTATACGCCAGAATTCTACGTCAAAAACGGCGTCATTTTCCTCATTTTTTTGCCGGAACAACCGCAAGAACATTTTCCAGTGAAAATATTTCGCCGGTTTAGATTTTCCAACGCGTGAATTACCGTCGGATCATTTTGTACCGGGAAGCACATATTCCCGGAGAATTTATATTGTTACCGGCGGATTTTGTCCGCCGGTAACAAAGCATTTTTCTGTAGTGCTAGAGCTGAGAGCCGGACAGAAAAAAATAGGGACATAATTTAAAGAATCACTTGGTTGAAAGGACGCAACTAGCAATTAAAAGGCAAAAGATTAATGATTATCAAGATTAGACCTGATACATGGTATCATATATGCTACCATAAAGTGTATAGTAAATATTAGAATAACATGAGCATGCTGCAAACATTATGTAGATTAAAAGAATAACAAAAGAAGCGCACCATGTGTGTGCAGAAGGCAGGTGATTGGGGCTGCCATATGCCTTGTGGATCTGAAATCTCTGAGGGCCCGATATGCCTTGTAATGCGCTAAATCCTTCAAGAGGAACCTGCGTACAAAGTACTAAATTTACCATGCAACGAAAACATGTTCCTCCATACTTGCATTCTTTTAGAAAAGGAAAAAAAATAACCTAATATGACGAAAGCAATTCATTTAAGTTATATTTTACCATCACAACATTTTTTCTTAACAGATTATTTTTTTAGTATTAGCTATGTAAATCAGCTGGTACTTCCAAACCTTAAAGAACGCCCAAAACTGTGTAAACTTACCTTCGAGGTGCCAGTCACAAACTGCAGGAATCGGGCTTTGTCCTCCTTGCTGAAACCCAGAAGAACCTCCCAGAACCATTGAATGATAGGAGATGCATTACTGTAACCCGAATATTCAGTATTTGCTCTCAAGTCATCCACTGCAATAAGTAGAATACATGAGGAAAGTACAACCATAAGTGTCTAACAATTGCGGTTATCAAATTAGACATGTAAATACATTTCAAGAAAACAATATTAAAATAAAATCATGCTTTCATGTAAAAGGGGTTAAGGCAAACTACTTACGATCAATATCAGGAAGGCCACTAATCAATAACTCCAACTCTCTATCATTAAAGATAGATATTAGATCACGAGAGATCAATTCATTAAAACCTTCCAGGAAAGCATTTATCTGCCTTTTAATAGCTGTTGTAAGACGATGTTCCACAACACGGTCGACGTACTCATGCTTGTTTTCTTCAGTAACTCTAATATTTCGACCACCAGGAATCAACTCACAGTCAGTAACCTGTGCAAACAAACTTTACTTAGCCAAGTAGAACTAATAAAGAAATGAGTAATCACTTATCATAAATTATCACATTAAATATTATATAAATTTTAGGAAGAAAATCTTCTTAAGAATGATACAGTCATTCAAAAGCTTCGTATTAAAACTCTAGCTTCAATAGAAGGCTTGTAAGAAAAAAAACAGCATCACATACCTGTGCCCTCTCATATAATATCAGCTTCTCCTCATCAGCATCCATGGTAAAAGTGAGGTCCAAAATGTCACTAATATCATTCTGCAATAGCAAAAATTGACAAATTATGGTTGTATTAAGAAATTTTGAATATAGCAGCAGAAAGGTTAAAGTAAGAAATGGAGAGTAGAGCAATAAGGTTAAAAGTAAAGCATGTCAAAATAGCATACCTCAAGCATCCACTTCAAATTTTTGTAATAATCAGGATCTATAGCTTCAATATCATGATAGGTTACTTTCACTCCCAGCATGTGTTTGTAGAAAGATCGCGTGAAATGCACATCTAAAAGTTGACCATCAAACAATGCCTTACCAACCTGCAGAGTGAAATAAATGTCAGAGAACCCATTAAAAGCACAAGTACACAACTATTTATAGCATAAGCCCAAAAAAAAATGCACGCACCACTCGACCAACAAACTTGAAGTAAGAGAGGTGCTCTGTTTGATAAACAGAGTTGGGATTTGGCTGGAAGGTTGAGTCATTGCCAACAGTTGTGAAAAGCAAGGCACCTTTGTCAAAAATAACACGGGACAGAAGTTGATACCATTCCCTTGTCAGGCCTCCAGCATCAATACCCTCTTCCCCCTGGAAATGAACAGTAAGCCTGCTTTTCAGATCTTGAGCTGGTCGCATCCGTAACTGATTATAAGAATCTTCAAGGATGTAGGCTCTTCTAACTGAAACTCTCACTGAAGGATGATGATGATCATGTTGGTGCTTAATTTTTGATCGAAAATGAGCCCGTTTGTTGTCAAAGTCAATAAAACGTGGTACTTTAAGCATAAGAGAAAATGACTTTTCAAGTAATCCAGGATTTTGGCGAATAAAGGAATTTAGCAACTTCCTATGCTTCTCGGAGAACTTAACAAAAGCATTTAACTTTTCATCAACTTTCATGGAAAATACAGTATGTTTTTGAACACTAGTTGAAGCATCTTCTAGGTCAGAGGTTGTCGCAACTAACTCTTGATTTACATCTGATTGCCCAGGATGCAGCTTTTCGCATGTAACAAAAAATGACTCAATATATGGTAAGATGTTCTGAGTACCCGCTGGAAGTGAAGATGATGAGCCCGCATTTGTTGGAGCAACGTTTCCAGGAATTGCATCAACATCAACAGTATCAGACGAGGTCTCGAGTTTGCTAATACAGCTGCTCAACTCCAACCATAAAGATTCCAATGATGCATTTATATCTAACACCTGAGAAAGAGCATTTGCATATTCTTTCTCAGATAGAAGCTGGGGATCCTTCTTGTCATGCAATGTAGAAACTAAAGAACTCAATGCCTGCAGAACCCTTAAAATAGCAGTACCACTGGAGGATGATGAAGCAAGAAGTGCCTTTTCAGCGTCTCCATTAACGTGCAATTCATTCATTCCAGATGCAACCAAGTTATGCATTGACTTTGCTAGCTCCACTATAAACAAATGACAAAAGGTTGGAACAACTGCCACGAGCCTCTTCAAAACCTCCGCCAGAAGAACATATGCATTATCTGACAATCTAATAATACAATATAAATCGGTCAGATATAGCTTAGCAAATAAAAGATGCGACTTTGTTTCATTAAAAACAAAATCAATATCAGTAATATAATTGTTTCTATATATAGGGTAGCCACAAATCAGCTCATCAATACAGTAAGGCATAGGTGGGGGTGGAGGTTGTCTGGGGAAGGGGGCAGGTAGTTTAAATGCTGGGTGTGCCAAGAAAAAAGCACATCCTAGCTGAAAATCAGTATGGAGTAAATGAACGGTTAAGCCATATTTTTAAGTTGAGACCAAAAAAAAACCCAATACCAATTGTTTTATTAGATCTAAATGAGAACTTGGACTCTTAACTGAACACAATGAAGAAAAAGGATTCATGTAGCCGATCCCACGTAGTTGGATAAAGGCTTGATGTTGTTGTATACCAATTGCTAAATAAGATGTAATAAAGAGTAAAATAAATAAAATCATCACTTCTTGGAGTTAAACCCAAATGGGCATCAAAGTATGCAATCAATATGTTAAGTTGTGAAGCCAAATTTATGACATATGAAAAAAACATCTTACACAAACTCAATCAGAAATTGACCATCACAGTAAATTCCCCGTGGCAGTTAAAAGGGGGCACATAGCTCCCCCTCTTAGGGATCCAAGCAACGAATCCCTTGAAAAGCATCCAACATTTATGAGTTTAGTTTTTTGGGAATTTCACTGTAATTTTCAATCCCTAGTTTTATTTTTGCAAAGATATCTGAGAGATGTCAAGGATATAAAACCTAAATAATCAAAACCATAGCAAAAGCGGCAGTGACATCAAAATGCTAACCATCAATTGAGTAAACCTATATAAAATTTTTGTGAGCTGGTTTTCTTTTTGTTTTATCTACTCTCAATGTTTTTAATTAAGTCTTCCTAAATTCTCAAACAACTGGTATCAGAGATTTTGGTCCCAATTTAGAGTGAAGTTCATCGAGGAAGGATCAGCATTGGGAATCATTAAGTTTAGTGGCATGGAATTAGCCGATGTATAGAGAATTATCCATATAGTAATAAGATGCTTTTTTTTTTTTTTTGGACAAGAAACTTGACTATGAAGGATGATGAGTGAAATTCCTTGATATACAAGTTTTGGGAGTAGTTAATTTGATGTAGTCGAAGTATGTGACTCACAACGAGTCAACAATTGGGACCATTGTGAGATTGATGAAGGCTTCTTTAGATATGTGAAAGATATGCTTAGTATAAAATAAGATATATTTAATGAAAAAAATAAATTAATCTAAATATGGTAGATGGTTCGTTGGTGGAACAAAAAACAAGTTCAACGCAATTGTGAATCAGATGGTAAGTGAAGATTAATTTTGATAATGAGGTATGAGCCCTCTAATAATATTGGCTTTGCTACAAAATAGTTGCGAACCTAAAAGGACTATTGTCACCAATTCCATAGGAAATTCAAACCTAATGCATAATAAAGTTCGAGATGCTATTCTTGCAGGGGAGGTTCAAAGGACAGATTCTGGAGAAATATCCGCATCAACTTCTGCTTAGAATGTTAAGAATACGGGGTCAGGTTTTTTTTAGGTATTCCAATAAGGAATAGAGTAAATTCAAAGAATGGCTAGAGCAAGTTCGAGAATTTACAAAATGTAAAGCAATCGAATTGTGGCAAGGCTGAACACTTGAAGAATTGAAGAGCATTAATGAAAAATGATCATAAGAATAATAATGTGGCAAACACAACCACCAAAGAGATGCTCTAAGGTGTTAAATTCAGGCACTTCTTTTCATACTAAAATACACTGAAATTTCGGACAAGTATTTTGTTAAGAATCATGAAAAGATTTATCTCACTAATGATAAACCTTTGGATGCTGTTGGCATGGCGAAGCTAGGATTAAAATGGTTAATAAGTCATATTTGAAATATCCAAGAGGCAAAGACATGCGCAAAAGTTCATACAGCTTGATTTTAGTTGGGCAACTTGACGACAATGGTAATAATGTAACTTATGATAGTGTTGGATAGAGAAGTTGGTAATTCACTATGGTGGTAGTTGTGTGGGTTGGTTTGTGCCCTTTTTCCTTCTTTTTTCCGTCTTTGGGAGAGGAGGGGGAGTTCAACAAATGTTGAGTGGCAACAAAATAACACATCCCAAATGAAATGCAATGAATCAAAGAATGATAAATCCTTCTTTATAAGTTGACTACCAAATAATGGTAAAGTCGCCACAATCAAGTTAAACTATTCATATAAGAATCTATATTCAAGACAAACTCTAACTGTGAGAGAATAATAATGTTTTCCTAAGTATTGTTTTATTGGTTGGAATGCATAAATGTTACAAAGATTGAGAAAACCTTCAAAATTCAGAAGGATACTATGCATTTGACAAAGTACTTGCATATAAGCTAGAGTGGGCATCAAAGCATTCAATCATTATGTAAAGTCGTGAATGCAAATTTAAATTGTACAAAGAAATGTCTAATGCAAATTTATTCAAGAATTGACTGTTGTCATGACAATTGGAAGGGACCTCTCAAAGGTTAGAAGGTGAAGCCCCCAAAAGGTATTTAATATTTTTTTAATTATGTTATTAATAATATTTTTAGGATTTCACTATACTTTTAAAGTACCGTAACTTTTTCTTTATAAACATATCTAATATATTAGGGCCATAAAAACTCTGCAATTGAAATCATAGCAAAATCTGTAGCGACAATAATAAGATGTAACCATCAATTGGTGTGCATTTAGTTTTTTTATGTTATACTTATTTATATTGTTTGAAATTAAGACTTTCCTAATTCCCTAATAACTTTTACAAAAGCCACTTCTCTAATTAAGAACAATGCATGGAAAAGAAAGTTTGAGATCGAGAATCGTCGGGTTTGAAAGAATGAACTTCACGTTATGGAGGATGCAAATGAAAGATTATCTATATGGCACAAAGAAGCGCTTTCCCTAGGACAAGAAGCACGAGATTATAAAGGATGAAAAGAGGATTATTCTTAATAGATAGGTTATGGGAGTGATCCTTTTGACATTGTGCAATAATGTGATGAAGGTATAAACAATTGTTGGATTGATGAAGGTTTAACCAAATATATGTACACAAACCTCAACATGCAATTAGTATATTTAATGAAAAAAGTATTTTATCTAAAAAAGGTTGAAGGTGGTTTGGTGGTGGAACACTGAAACAAGTTCAGCATAATCATGAATCAATTGGTATTGGCAAAGATTAAATTTGATGATGATGTATGTGCCTTAATTCTACTGACTTCATAACTAAATAGTGAAGAAAGTATGAAGGCTACTGTGAGTAAATAACGATTACAAAATTGAAGTTCAATTAAGTTTGAGATTTATGATGATGGAGAATGTTAAAAGCAGAGACTTTAGAGTAGTATCAACATCAAATTCTGGTTTGAATTTTGAGAATAAAGATAGGAGTTCTGAAAAATATTCCAACAAAAATAATTATAATGAGGGGAAGTCAAAATAAAGTTAGAAACAAATCCAAGAAAACACAATGTGGAGTATTGGAAATGTGATGAGACAAACCACTTGAAGAATACAAGACATTGAAGAAGAATCATGATAATAATAATGATGCAGTAAACCAAAACACGAAAGAGATGCATGTAGTTTTGATGGCTGTTTTGGATTCTTGGTTGCTGCTAGGAATTGTGGGAGAGACGATTCATCTCTCGAACAATGAATCAACTATCTTGTATTTCTTTGCTTGAAGATTAGTAATTACAGCCCTTTCATGTTATTTGGAGTAAGTTTGTTGTTTTTTATATTGTTGTGTGCTGTTTTGGCCAATTTTTGAGACCGATGGTCAGGAGAAGAGTTGATACATTTGAAGAAAAAATAAAGGGGGAAGTAGGATAGCGATATGCCGCCAGCCCAGAAGGGGCCGGCTGGACCGGTCCAGCCTGGACCGGTCCTGGTTTACTCCAGGCGGGGGAAACAACCAAGGGGGGCGGAAATCAGGTGAAGCCCATTAGGGGCTTAATGCAATTTTTGGGGGGAAATATTTGAATGGGAAGGGTGATTAGGTAATTTGTAATCCTCCTTTCATGATAATTAGGGTGAATAGGAGAGAGAGAGGGTTATCTTGAATTTGAATGAGATTTGAGATCTAGGGTTTTCTTGCTTTGGGCTCTTGGCGTTGCCGGAGATTGGAGAGTTGTTCTTCCTCCCGGATTGAAGAACAAATTGTATCTTTGCTATTTTATTTGCCTACTAGTGAAATACAAGCCTTTGCTTGAGTTTTCTCTCAGTTTTCTCTCTAATTCTTGCTGTTTTCCTGTGATAACCTGCTGTCTACTTCTGTAAACAGCAGTTTTCCTGCTATTTCGCTCCAGATTTGGCTAGGAACTACTAGAAATCAAGTATTTCCTATTAAATTGGTATCAGAGCGTCGTTTTTGGGACCTAAAAATTTCAGCAGTTTCTTTGTTCTCGGAATAAGATCTTTGAGATTCTTGGGAAGAATGATGGCCGGGAAGAAAATAGAAGACTTGGAAGGCGAAATCGGAAAATTGAAATCCAATTTGGAGGGAAGATTTTTCGATTTCCAAAATCAAATCACCTCCAACAATGAAAGGTTGGAGGGGAAGTTCACCGTGATGGAAGAAATTAAGAAGAAATTACTTGAAATGAAGACCAATCCGGCGACATCGGAAGTACGAGAGACTGTCGACGACTATGGCATGGGAGGAAATCCGAACCCGCTACGGGGAAGGAGGAATTCGGAGGTGGAGATCCTGGAGGAGTAGAATGACATGCCCCCTCTAGAACCGCTTTCTAGAGAACAGATGAGTATGGGATACTACAAATGGGAGGCTGATTTGATCGAAAGGAGGGAAGAATTAAATCGTCGAGGTGCTGAATTTGAAAGAATCCAGCGTCGAGGTGCTGAATTTGAAGGGGGAAGGGAAGAATTTCATCGCCGAGGTGCTGAATACGAAAGAATTCAGCGTCGAGGGTTGTTTTGGAAATA